TTGAATCATACTTTATGAGTGCAGGATTCAAGAAAAGCAATCATGAGCAAACTTTATTCTTGAAGCACACTTCAGACGAAAGGGTTTTAATTGTTAGCTTGTATGTCGATGACCTCATATACACTGGTAACGATGATTTATTGATGAGTGCATTCAAGAATTCAATGAAGAAAGAGTTTGATATGACAGATCTTGGCAGAATGAGGTTTTTTCTTGGAATTGAAGTTCTATAGGAGGATGATGGGATCTACATTTATCAGAGAAAGTATGCCTTAGAAGTGTTGAGGAGGTTTGGGATGTCTGATAGCAATTCTGTCAAAGTTCCTATTGTACCTGGTTGTAAACTGTCCAAAGATGAAACAAGAATGAAAGTAGATGAGACTCTGTACAAGCAACTGGTAGGAAGTCTCATGTATATTACAGCAACCAGACCTGACTTGATGTTCTCTGTTAGTTTGATCAGTCGTTTTATGAGCCAACCCACTCAAATACATATGCAGGCTGCAAAGAGAGTTCTTAGATACTTACAAGGAACTGTGAATTTTGGTATTTTCTATAAGAAGGGAGGAGATGAAGAATTGTTAGCTTACACTGACAGTGACTATGCAGGTGACTTGGCAGACAGAAAAAGCACCTCTGGTTATGTGTTTTTTACTAAGTAATGGAGCAGTAGCTTGGTCATCCAAAAAACAGTCGATTGTGACATTGTCCACCACAGAAGCTGAATTTGTGGCAGCTGCAGCTTGTGTCTGTCAAGCCGTGTGGATGAGGAGAATTTTGAAGGAGCTGGGACATAATCAAGAAGGTTGCACCACATTGATGTGTGACAATAGCTCAACTATTAAACTTTCTAAGAATCCTATTATGCATGGAAGAAGCAAGCATATCGATGTGCGTTTCCATTTTCTGAGAAATCTCTCTAGAGATGGTTGTATAGAGTTGGTTCAGTGTGGAACTAAGGAACAAATTGTAGATTTACTAACCAAACCTCTGAAGTTGGATTGCTTCCTTAAGCTTCGAGAGCAGATGGGAGTATGTGAAATTCCTAAGATAAACTAATTGCTTGTCTAAGCAATAGTTTAAGGGAGGATATGTTAGCATATTTTCTATTGTGTTAGTTACTGTAATCTGTTTTCAATTCTGGTTTAATGTTGGTTAGTTGTTTGGGCCTCACTTGTAACTCTATAAGAGCATTATATTGATTAATGAATATTCAGTGAAGTATTTTAGCATTTTATACTTCTTCGTTCTTTATATTCTAACACTCCATGTTTATTCTTGATGCAAATACTTCTATCAAAGCAACGCTAGTCATGGAAAAGGGCAACACCAACCTTGGTCGAGACAAAGTTGTGCAGGGTTGTGAATGTTGTTGAGAGATTGTATTTTTGTATATGTTAAAATTAGTTTATACACAAGTTAAAAAATAGTTTTTTGAGAATCTAACATAAGAGAACTTTTTCAAATTGGTTTATGCACAAATTAATTTTAATATATGAAAATTTTTATTTATTTATTTTTCTATTTTTTTTCTCTTGAAAATATTCTTACAAAATAAGCTACTAAAATAAAGTATGTTTGAATAAATTTTTTCAAAAAAAAATTCAAAAGAAAAAAGGAAAAAAATAAAATTTGTTAAAACAAACATATGAATAAATTCAAATTAAGATTTTGAAAAAATTAATAGAAGAAAGTTTCTACAAATTATTTTATAGAAAAACTTTTCATTCTCTCTTCTCATGTTCCTTTGTTATAAGTGTTTCTAGATAAAAAGATTATAAGGATTCTTATCGAGCAAACTTATTTATATCAAATTAGTTTATAAACTAAATAAAGTAATTTATAAATTTCTCTAATATCTTGTCAAAACTAATCATAATTTTTTATTCAATTTATTTCTCTAATTATTTTTTGTATCGATGTTTAACTCTTACTTTTTTTATTTATTCAATTAGTTATGTGAGAATTTTTTTTGGATTAAATATATTTCTTATTCATGTAAAATTAACAAACTTTAATTTTGGTCCCTTTATCTTTGTTTTTTGTCATCCTCTATAAGTTAAATTATTTTTTTTAGTTTTTACTATTGTGTGGTCCTTTTTTAAGGACTTATTTGTGTATTAGAAAATTAAGCAATCTTATAAATATTATTTATACTATATTAATGCGTGACACTTTTTTTTATTTATAAATTCTTAAAATAAATAACATTTATCTACCTCATTAAAGATAAAAAAAAATATTAATTTAAAATTTTAGAGAGATGAGTTTTTTTTTATTAAAAAAATCTCATTTTACATAGCCAAAAACACAGAATCCAAGTTTTGAAGAGATGAAAATAATAAAATCTGTTTTAGAATGACTAAAATCAAAATTGCATGATCTTTTATGAACTAAATAGGTATTTAAGTTTTTTCTTTCACATACTTTTTGTTAACAGAAGTTTACTAAATAAACCACGACTATTCAGAACTCAAAATGTCACCCGAAACCTCCATACCTGGTTGCATGTTATCCTTCTTCAGTCACCTTTTTCCTCTTTATTCTCTTCAGACACCTAACAACTACTGTAAACTCATTATTATTGACCAAACATCATACCTCTGTCTTTGTCACCATTAACCGTCTTCATCATGTCAAGTTAACACCAAAATATTCTCTTAATTAGAATTGGAAGACACAGTAAACTTAATAAATAATTTAAAGAACTAAATTGAATTGGAAGAAATTAGAAATTAAATTATACTTGGAGAGATAAATGTAATTAAAAATATAAAACATCTAACTGAAAATTACATTATCATAACACTATTAAATTAATATTTTTTTTTGGACAATAAAGACTAAAAATAGAATGTTTGGAACTTACATTGATAATTGTGGAAAAAATGTTACAGAAATTGAAAAGTGTTAAATTACATTAACATAAAAAAAACATATTTAATCAAATAACAAGTTATCTGACTAGATTATTGTCTCATTTAATTAATATTCTTATTTTACTTGATAAAGTTGATAAAAAAAATACTTTATGTGTTGATATATTAAAGGGATAAATAAATTTTAAAAAATTGAAACTACAAAAACACATATTTTGAAAGTGCAATAGCAAATTGACAGCTAGCACTCTCCCATGATGGTGCACGTGCGAAGGGAATGCTGTGGTCAAATCCGTACGAACCCTTTCCTATACTACACGTTTTGGAGGACACAGAATATGCATCAAATTTCAATTAATCTCAAAACATGGCCAATTAATTTAAAAGTTAATTAAACTACAGAAAAGAAACATGACGTACAAATAATTTTTAATTTGGTGGCATCAAAGTGTCTTTGACATGGCAATTAATGATTCTCACATATTGTTGCCAGTTGCCACACTCATTTTGTTTATGATATATGTTTGTAATTAAATCCATTATATATTGGGAAAGGAAGCAAGGTTTGTGTTTGATGAAAGTCATAAGGAAAGTTCATTAATTTGCATATGGGAATATAGCTTTATTGACGTGGTAGGTATTGTTTATCGATTAGAGTTAGAATTTTATTTTGATATTATATATTTATATTTAGTGTAGATTTTTTTAATATATATTTGTGTATATTATTAAAGTAAAACTTTAATTCTGATGAGAGAATAATATTAATGGCATTGAATAAAGTTTAACTATGTTTTATGCTTTGCGAAATTAATTAGCTGGACCTTCTGGAAGTTGCCATGCTTTCAATGGTTTACCTATACCATCCATGTGAAGTCCTAAACATCGCGTCAAGGTGAAAATTCTTACGTTGAGGGGTATGGTAATGGTTGAATCTCGAAGTTGAAAGTTTAATTAAAATCTGGAAGGTAATTAATTTTCAGAAAAAAACAATATGCACAAACAATGTAAAACTTTTATACTCGGACGATATTCAATGATAACAATAATGCAAATTTATTGAATTTGATAATAATCATCTTAAAAATTATACTTCAAAAAAATTCATTTGGTTAATTTTGACAATTTTGAAAAAAATTATACCATGCATTTCTATTAAACACTTGCTTTTGTAAACGAAAAATTATTTTTTTGGACACTTTATATTTTTTTTTAAAAATATTTTATCGACACCTTTAATTTCTCTTTATCTTAATTTTTTTTTATATCATATCATATTATCAATTATTTCTATATTTCTTTATTTTATCTATATCTCATTAGGTATTATTGTGTGTTAACTAACATCTCGATTGTCCAAGTATATTTTTTCTCTTTAAACATGTATCGGAAGGACCCTATCGGTCACGCGGACCAACACGTGCCTTGCCGTCAGACACCCACGCAAGGTGAATAACCCTAAAAGCCTTAACATTAGCACCGGCTCGGATTACAACCGAAAGTATGTTATGAGTCGGATAGCGCGATCGGCTCGGTGTGAGGTCGATACGAACAGAACCGTGGGCTTCGCAAGACGTACACCGGCTCAGACAGAAGCCGATCAAGTATAACAGCACAGTAAACATATGACGACTCGGCCGAAGGCCGGGCCGAAAGGCGCAGCAAACATGTAAACGGCACGGCCTAAGGCCGAGCCGAGGGACGAGATAATAATTATAGCCTTCACCATGATTAATGAGGATAAGTACGTGATTAAAGCATAATGAGCCTATTAGCGGCGTATTACCTAATTTGGTAAACTTTAGGAGAGGCCCACTACTGACAAGGCCCATCAGTGGTAGTATAAATAGGTCACTTTTGTCAAGGTATGTCACTGTTCATTAATTACCCTAGAATATCGTGCTTGTCCTGACTTGAGCGTTGGAGTGCCTTTTGCAGGAACCTCCCCCCCCCCTCGCGTAGAAGAGCACACCTGAAGACCCTCGTTCGGCCCTTCCCCCCACTGCAGAGTACGAGTGTGCCCCTAGACAGGTACATTTTGGCGCCCACCGTGGGGCCGAACCGAGAGACAACAAAGAAAGAGAGTTGAAGGGAAGCATGGTAAAGACAAGAAAGACCAACATGGGAGATCATCAGTCCGAGGAGCATCAATCGGGAGCCGACAATGCCGAGACCATTGAGGAGACGAATGTGACTGAAATGATGCGACAGCTGAAAGAAGAAATGGCTGCCATGAAGCAGCAACGGGAGAGGGACGCGGCCGAGATGGCTGCCTTGAGAGCGGAAAATGCTAACCTAAGGAGTCAATACCGAGACCCTACCTGGAAACCCTCCGAGACAACCCGTTCTCAGGGATCGTTCCACTTGCACGGTCAGCACACGTCTGCCCCGAATACCTCTGCCGCGGCCCATGGCATCCACGCATCAGCCGCACGACCGATACAGTCAATGTCGACCGGAGCGCACCGACATCCGTTTACAACGAGTATTATGCAGTCATCACTTCTCGACAACTGGAAGTCACTCCCCCTCGATAAGTATGACGACACCACAGACCCAGACGAACACGTGGACGTGTTCTTGACGCAGGTAACCTTGAGTACCACAGATGACGCCGCGCTATGCCGGATTTTCCCGACCTCCCTGAAGGGTCGCGCGCTGAGTTGGTTTACCCGACGCACGGCAAGCTCTATCGATTCCTTCAGCACGCTAGCATCCCAGTTCACAGTTCAGTTTGCCACTAGCCGTCCTCATCAGTTGACCTCACTAGCCCTGGTCAATATTCGTCAAGAGCGCAAGGAGTCCCTACGGGCGTTCATGACTCGATTTAACAAGGCGGCCTTGGAGATCAGAGACCTTCATCCCGCTGTCGCTTTGCACCATTTAACTACCGCTTTGAAGCCGGGTCCCTTCGCTAATAGCATATGCAAAAAGCCGCCCACAGACATGGATGATCTACGGCGAATAGCCGATAAGTACATGCAGATGGAGGAGTTAGCCGAGTTTCGCAATCAGGCTAGAACAGAGGTGGCGGCCAAGCCGAAAAGGCCGATCGAAGGCAATACCCAAAGCCGACCGAAGGAATTGGAACCCCAGGAGAGGTCCCGGAACGGACCAAGATACCCGCAGTACACCCCCCTGAACTCTAGTAGAGCGACTATACTAGAGCAGGCATTGGCCTCTAAAGTATTGATAGTCCCGAAACAAGCCTCGACCCCTCCCAGGGCCGACACAAGCAAGACTTGCAAATATCATCGTAATCGGGGGCACTCAACCGAGGAATGTGCGGCGTTGAAAGACAGGATAGAGGATCTAATCAAGCAGGGACAACTACAGGGTTTCGTGGAGCGTCCCAATACATCCCGGCGTACCGATCGGTCGAGACGGCCTGATCACCCCGAACCCAGAGCCGAGACACGCGTGTATAGAGAACGCAGCCGCCCCAGAGAAAGGCGAGACCCGGAACCTACATCACAACCCAGGCGAGTCATCAACAGGATAGCAGGCGGATTCGCAGGTGGTGGTTCTTCTTCATCGGCGCAAAGAAGACACCTACGCGCCATTCGACACGTCAATGCCGTTGAGACGGCTCGGCATTCACAGCCTACTATTTCCTTCACCAGCGCCGATTTCAAGGGGATTGACCCGAATCAAGACGACCCAATGGTAATCAGCGTCGAAATTCATAACTGCATTGTGCGTAAAACGCTGGTTGATCAAGGAAGTTCAGCCGACATCTTGTACTGGAGCACGTTCAAGCAGTTGGGCATCCCGGAGTCTGAGTTAATCCCGTATGACGAACCGTTGGTCGGATTCTCTGGCGAACGGGTTAAAACAAAGGGGTATATCAAGTTGTCGACTCGTTTCGGATTTAAAGGAGCAGAATACCGTGACATCCCGGTAAAATATGTGGTAGTCAACGCCAATACATCCTACAACATTCTGCTCAGCCGGCCATCTCTGAACAGACTCGGCGCTATCGTGTCCACGCCTCATCTGGCCATGAAGTTCCCGTCCGGTTCGGGGCGGGTGATCACTGTCCATGCCGACCAGAAAACGGCACGCGAGTGCTATTTCGCCAGCCTGCGGTTACCGAAACCTCGTGCGGAAATTGTTGAAGAGCCCAAGCGTATCCACTCGGTATCATCAGAAAGGGCACTCGACCTTGACCCCAGAATGGATCAAGATGAAAGAGTTGAACCTATTGAAGAAAAGCAACCTCTCCAAGTCGGGACTTCTGATGCACAACTTACTTATCTAGGCATCGTTCTCTCAGAACGAGAGAAGGCAGCTATCGAACAAGTAGTACTTGACAACCGAGATTTGTTTGCGTGGCACCCCTCCGACATGCCTGGCATCAACCCAAACTTTCTTTGCCATAAGCTCTCGATTAGTAGGGAGGCGAGGTCGATTGCCCAACGACGTCGGAAAACTGAAGAGGAGAAGAAGGCGGCAATCGAGGCCGAGGTAGCCAGATTGCTGGAAGCGCAGTTTATACGGGAAGTGCACTACACAACGTGGCTGGATAATGTGGTCATCGTCCGAAAGCCGAATGGGAAATGGCGTATGTGTACTGATTACACCAACTTGAACAAGGCCTGCCCGAAAGACGCCTACCCGTTGCCCAATATCGATCGGCTCGTCGATGGGGCGTCCGGCCACCGATTCCTATCCTTCCTAGACGCCTATTCGGGGTATAACCAAATTCGCATGCACCCTCAAGATGAAGAAAAAATGGCGTTCATCACCGAGACGGCCAACTACTGCTATCGCGTGATGCCGTTCGGTCTGAAGAACGCCGAGGCCACATACCAGCGTTTGATGAATAAAATTTTCCATGATCAGATCGGTCGGTGCCTGGAAGTTTACGTTGATGACATGGTCGTAAAGTCTGGCAAAGTTTCTGCCCACGTGCACCACCTCGCTGAAGTGTTCCGAGCGCTCAGGCAACACTGGATGAGGCTGAACCCTGAAAAGTGCGTGTTTGGTGTTTCGGGTGTAAAGTTTTTGGGGTTCATGTTGTCCAGTCGGGTCATCGAGGCGAACCCGGATAAGTGCCAGGCCATACTGGAGATGAAGAGTCCCGACACTCTTAAGGAAGTATAGAAGTTAGCAGGTCGGCTTACCTCGCTTTCACGGATCCTTCCTCGGCTGGCCGAGATATCTCAGCCAATCTTTGCTCTGCTAAAGAAAGCAAAGCAGTTTAGCTGGACCGACGAATGTGAAGAGTCGTTCCAACAATTCAAGCAACGCCTTAGCTCACCCCCGGTACTTTCCAAACCGAATTCCAGCTCCGATATGATAGTCTACCTAGCCGTATCAGGTCATTCGGTAAGCGCTGTTTTGATACAAGAAGACCAGAAGGATCAGCGACCGGTGTACTTTACCAGTCGGACACTACAAGACGCCGAGAAGCGCTACCAGTTGATAGAAAAGATGGCTTTAGCGCTCGTCTACACTGCTCGCCGGCTCAGGCAATATTTCCAAAGTCATAGGGTGGTAGTCCTAACGGATTGCCCGATTGCAAAAGTCCTTCGGAAGCCAGAAATTGCTGGTAGAATGATGGCCTGGTCGGTCGAACTCTCAGAATTCGACATATCTTTTGAGCCGAGGGGACCTATCAAGTCGCAACATTTGGCTGACTTCGTCAACGAGCTCACCCCAGCAGGTAGTTTTCAAGACGAGCCGTGGACCATGCATGTCGACGGATCATCTAACGCTCAAGGAAGCGGGGCGGGGATAATTCTCGCTAGCCCCTCAGGCATCACGGTAGAACAATCGCTCCGCTTCGGTTTTTGAGCGTCTAACAACCAAGCGGAGTACGAAGCATTGCTGGCCGGAATGAGACTAGCAGCTGAAATGGGTGTGAAAAAAGTCGTATGCTGGACCGACTCAAAGATTGTGGCCGAACAGGTCAACAACAACTTTCAAGTCAAAGATGCTAATTTGTTGCAGTATTATCACCTCTTCCAGAAACTCAAAGATGATTTCGCCGAGGTTCAAATCCGGCATATTCTAAGAGGTAGCAATGAACGAGCCGATCAGTTAGCTCGGCTCGCTAGCAGTAGAAAACCGGGACAGCTAAGAACAACAATTCACCTGGAAGTCCCTTCTCCAAGTGTGGTCGTAGAGTGCATGGCTACCGATGCCAAAGTACCAAACTGGATGACTCCCAAGCAGCTCGGTACTCCATAGTAGCTAGCGAACTCTATAGGCGAGGATTCTCCACCCCGTTGCTTAAATGCATTGACAATCTACAGGCTGAATATGTAATGCGGGAAGTCCACGAAGGTATCTGCGGATCCCATTCTGGAGGCCGAACCCTGGCAGCAAAAGTGTTACGAGCCGGCTATTTTTGGCCGACCCTGAAAGGAGATTGTGCTGAGTTTGTCAAGAGGTGCATACCGTGTCAACGGCACGAAAATGTCATTCACGCATCGACCAACGAGTTACACAGCATCATCTCCCCGTGGTCGTTTGCGTTATGGGGTATCGACGTGCTCGGACCGTTCCCCGTCGCAAAAGGGCAGGTAAAATTTCTTTTGGTCGCGGTCGACTACTTTACCAAGTGGATAGAAGTCGAACCGCTCGCCTGCATCTCGACAACTAACGTTCAGAAATTTGTATGGAGGAATTTGGTTACCCGCTTCAGCATTCCATACGCCATCGTTTCGGACAATGGCCTCCAGTTCACAGACAAGAAGTTCAACACTTTCTTTGAGAACCTTGGAATTCGGCACCGGTTCACGTCAATGGAACATCCTCAGTCGAACGGCCAGGCCGAAGCTGTAAACAAGGTTATTCTCACCCAGCTCAAAAAGCGTCTCGGTACTGCTAAAGGAGCATGGGCCGAAGAGTTACCGGAAGTCCTCTGGGCTTACCGATGTACGCCGCAATCAACTACCAGGGAAACACCCTTCCGCCTGACGTACGGTGTAGATGCAATGATTCCGGTGGAGATAGGCGAACCCTCGTTCAGGAGACAGCATTTTCATGAGGAATCTAATGATGACTCATGCCGAGCCGAACTGGATGTCCTCGATGAAAGGCGAGAAAAGGCACAAGTGGTGGCAGAAGCATGCAAACAACGAATGAGCCGACGCTTTAACTCTAACTTAAGGCCGAGGACGTTTCAGGAGGGTGACCTAGTCTGGAGAGCAACTGGTCTGGCCAGGCGGAACGCTTCCGAGGGCAAGCTCTCAGCTAATTGGGACGGACCATTTCGCATACGGCATGCGCTTAACAATGGGGCATACAAGTTGGAGGAGCTGTCCGGCAAAGTCATTCCGAGGACCTGGAATTCAACACATCTGAAGACGTATTATAGTTGAACCCAACTTGTATTTACCTTACAATTGTGTGTAAAATGGTGCACTCTTTTCCTTGAACCGATCTTTTTTCCCCTTATAAAATTGTGAAAAGGGGTTTTTGATTGGCAAGGTTTTTAACGAGGCATCAAGTCAATAAGAATACACTTCAAAATCTCAGACATCGGATGTTGGCTTATAGTTAAAATTTTAAAGACTTAAAATTTTTTACAAGTCTTCCCTCCCGAGATGTCTCTCGGCTAAGGACGCGGCTTAAAATTTTTACAAGTCTTCCCTCCCGAGATGTCTCTCGGCTAAGGACGCGGCTTAAAATTTTTACAAGTCTTCCCTCCCGAGATGTCTCTCGGCTAAGGACGCGGCTTAAAATTTTTACAAGTCTTCCCTCCCGAGACGTCTCTCGGCTAAGGACGCGGCTTAAAATTTTTACGAGTCTTCCCTCCCGAGATGTCTCTCGGCTAAGGACGTGGCTTAAAATTTTTTACAAGTCTTCCCTCCTGAGATGTCTCTCGGCTAAGGACGTGGCTTAAAATTTTTTACAAGTCTTCCCTCTCGAGATGTCTCTCGGCTAAGGACGCGGCTTAAAATTTTTACAAGTCTTACCAATTTTCAGTACCGTGTGAAATAAATACGACAACTAAGCAATTATAACCGAAATGATAACATATTCATTAAGGCACTATCGGCCTGGGGAAGTACAAGGATAAAAGGGGCACTATCGGCCCATCCATACACAACAAACAAAACAAAACAGCAAAAGTCAACTAGAGCACTACTGGCTCATTAACACGAGGCGCACGAGAAAAGATTCAAGACTGAACCTCCGCCTCACCCTGCACGGGGCCGTCTTCCGGGGCACCTTCCTCGTAGGCCGTCTCGTCGTCCAACCTGGCCGCCTGAACCGGAGCCGCTTCGTCCGGCTGCTGATCCGGCGGGATAGACGTTAAGTCCACCAACTTCCCCTGGAAGAAGTCCTTGGTCATGTCCAGCTGGAAGTCGGAGGGGAAGTCACCAAAGTAGCGCGCTTGCCGAGCCGCCTGGTTGAACCCAGCCTCATGCTGGGACAAGACCTTGCTACGAGCTTTTTCTTGGTAAGCCCCGAAGGCTATCTTCTCGGATTCCAGCTCTTTGGTCAGCAGCCCAACCTTCTCCGTTTCCCCCCTCAAGGCAACCTCTAAGCGCTGGACTTTGAGCGCCAAGTCATCAGCAGTACGCCCTCGGCGGTCCAGTTCGGCCTGATACTTGCTGTTGGCCGTTTGAGCATCAGTCAACGCCGCCAACGTCTCCTGCAAAGACTTCTCTTGCTCCGCCAGTTGACGACGGAGGCCGTCCGCTTCTCCGTTCGGCTCCATCACAATACTTTGAGCCAAAGCAACCGCCCGCACCTGGAACTCGCAAAAGAAGTTCCACTTTTGAGCCGAACTCATGCGGCTCAGCACCCCCTGCCCAGCTTCGGAGGTCAGGTCCTGGCTCAAGAAATCTTGAGCGTTGACGTTGCCGGCCAAGAAGTTAGGCCCAACCAACCCCTCAGGAGCGTTCAGGTTGGCTAGCCGTTGCTGCTTTGCCCGTCGGCTTTCATCCACGGCCTTGCCTCCCTCGGGCCTTCTTTTTTCTGCTTGAGGAGGGGTCGGACCCTTATCCCCCTTCCTCACCCTAGTAGTGGGACCCGACCCCCCACCTTGAGGTTGAGATGCATGGCCCGCCGCACGGGCGTCAGCTGGATCAGGGTTCCCCGTCGTCGTCGCCAGCCGATTGCGGATCAGCGTCCGAATGTCCAAATCATCGTCCACACGGCTCGCCATTATACCTGCACATCATTAAGTCAAAATCAATGATAACGTAAGAACCTACACAACTAGGAAAGTTACTTTACCGATTAGTTCTTCGATCGGGTCGGCCGATTCAAGTAACCGAACCAGAGGTCGACACGGCAGCGGCCGAGGCAATTTCAGCAAAAATTTTAAACTAGTGCGCTCTTCAGGGGACAGCCGGGACTTGGACACTGTGTTGTACTTGCGCGGCTTCCGAGTCCAGTACAACGGGAACAGAGGCTGTCCGTCGTCATCAAAAAAGTACTTATTCCCCGTCGACGGCCTAATCATCACTTTGAGAAATCCTCTCTTAAAGTTTTTATAAGAGGTAGTAAACGGCTGCAACAAACAGTCGGCATGCCGAATCAATGACAACCACTTGACCTTCTTAGCTGGCCGAGACGAGTAGAAGTACAAGAACAGGAGAGGGGTAGGTTGAAGGCCGAGGGTCGAGCACAGCCGCCTAAACCCTTGCATGGCAGCCCAGGTGTTGGGATGAAGTTGAGTCGGCGCCACATTTAGCAAGCGCATTATCCCCATCCAATACCCGTCGAACGGCAGTGTCACCTTTAGATCGTGGAACATGTAATCATACATGTAAAAAAACTGGTATTTACAGCTTCCTCGATCTAAGAAGACGAAGTCTGGGTCGGGACCGCCGTCACCTCGGCACGGCTGAAAGAAAAGAGGAGTGGGATCTTCCTCGGCCGAGAAGGTCACACAATTCGTCGCCGAGAGAAAAAGCGCGATCGAATTCTTATCGGCGTACCGAGAGTAGACGCTACCCACTTCCCCGTGCACCCATGAGTAACCAGGAGTCGCAATAGGGGGAAACTGCCGTGAACCCGTAGACGGCCGTTCCTCCGAACCTATTGCCGAGGCGGAATCGCCTTCGCTAGTAATGTGCCTTGACCCCGAAGCGGATCCAGTGTTGTCAGATCCGTTCGACGCCAAGGCCGACCTGTCGTGT